TGGTTTCATTGTTTTACATTGTTAATATATAACCATCTTATTGTATATAGTAATAAGTTTATTCTCATTTCTGTATAATCAGTGGTATGAATACATCATTAATTCTAGTACAGTTGGCATTTAGATTATTTTTAAAGTGGGTTGGAGGTGTAGCTCAGTAGAGTGTGCTTCTTTAGGCTACACAAGGTCCTGGGTTCAGTCCCACAGCACCACCAGAAAAACAAGCAAACAAACAAACAAAGCAACTTTCTGGATGTTGGCTGTTAAGAGGAATGCTTCTGTGAATATTCTTGGATATGCCTTTGGATGCATGTTTGTACTCATTGCTATTGGTTATTTTCTTGAATTTGCTAGGTTGGCATATATACAGTTTTAGTACTTACTGTCAAAAGGTTTTGGTTGGTTTTACCACTTTTTAACAGTTGGTCTGTGTCCTTGCTATTTGGTGTTGTCAAATACCAAAGTTCAATTTTAGCCATTTGATGGTTGCACAGTAGAAGTGCAGTGTGATTTTAGGTTTCATTTCACTGGGCACTAATGAAGTTGAGTACCTTCCCATGTTTATTGATAATTTGTATTTTTTTTGTAAGGTGCACAACCCTCTTTTGCTCATTTTTCAATTAGGTGGTTCATTTTTCTTCCCTATTTGTAGTGTGTGTGTAATTTTTATTTCCCACTGTGACTAGCCTGTTTATTCTTTTTATTAATAGGAGGTTAATAAAGTTCAGTTTATGATTCTTTTGTTTAGTGTCTTGTGTCTTCTAAAACTATTTAAGAAGTTTTTGCCTAACCCAACATCATGAAGATACTTTCCCTTGATAACTTGTAGAAGTTTTAGGATTTTCCTTCCCGATTTAGATTGAAAGTTCATTTAGAACTGATTTTTGCTGGTGATGTGAGGTAGAGATCAAAATTTATTTGGTGACTATTTTTAAAAACTCATCCGTGAGATTTTCTTTCAATTTCATGTTGGTGGCATATGTATTTTAGTTTTTAGATCAACTTAGGTATGTTAAGATGATGGTAAATTTTTTTCTTTGGTTAATACTAGGGATTTGTACTAACTGGATTTAATGTTATTTTAAGATTATAAAGTAGCACATACTTATTGAGAAAATGTAAAAATTTTAAAGCTACGAAGATTATAAAAATTGCTATAATCATCCTACTCTAGAATAACCACTATTAATGCTTTCTGTTAGTATTTTAGCATTTCTTTTTTGTTGTTTTCCTGTATAGTTATTTGTGTGTTTGTATAAAATTGTGAATATATATTTATATCACTTAAACTATGAACATTTCTCTTTGTCATTACTGTTAATCAAATGTCATATTGCTAGTTGTATAAGTAATACAGCATTGTAGCTTATCTCACTATTATTCAGCATTAGACATTTGTACCTTTTTATTGTCATAAATAATATTGTGATATTATATGGACATTGTGACATTATTTCTTCCATATGGATTTCTTAAGGCTCTTGATGCAGATTGGCCAAATTATAACTCACAAAGAAAAGCCAACTTTGTTTCTTTTAGTGTTGTATGAGAATCCCGACTGAATATTGTTATAAATGACCTAGAGAAGGAAATGTAAAGTGTGGTTTCTAGGTTTATATATGATCCTGAGAGGACAAAAAAAAAACACTAGACTTGGTCTTGGATGGATGGTAGAGAAGGAAATTAAAAGGGCATCTTGGACAAGAGGTGGGTAATATATTGAAAAGCAGGGAAATTGGAAGGAGGATCTAATAGGAAAGGTTTATTTTTAGCTGTATTGAATTTTATATATCAAGATGTCAAAGTGAAGGTACTTTGTATAAATTGGTAACTATGATCTAACCAATTACACATCTGTAATTGTATGGTAATGATTAATAAGTATATGTTTATTTACTACTTCAAGTATTCTTTACATAATCTTAATTTTCTGATGAAAGTAAGGTGGATATTATTACTGCTACCAGTTAACAGATGAGGAAATGATTAATAACATCAAGAATTTGTCATATATTGGTATATTCTGTAGTGTTAGTATTTTGCATACATAGTCTTACTCAATACTACAGAACTCCTATGAGGGTTTTCCACTTCTAGTTTACCAGCAAACAAAGTTCCAAATAGTTAAATTTTGGTTGCTCAGCCTCATACTGTTAGTATTACTACTTGGAGTTACATTGTCTTTCTTTTAACTCTTAACCTGTGCTTTTCTTGCTTTGCCATATTACTTTTGGAAGCCAAGTTCATTCAACTAGTAATTGAAAGAGATGGCATTGACATTCAAATTTTATAATGCTTTACCCAAATATTTTTGGTATTTGTCCACTTTATTTTTAAACTAACTTTCTTTTCTTTTAATAAAGGAACACCATAAGATGTTCCAGAGCTAGTAGGAAGAATTAATTCCATGTTCTGGAAGCATGCAGACTGTGGTTCATATGTGTAAAGATACAAGGTGTTTGTGCAAAGAACATTTTCAGATAAATTTGAATAAAATCTATCCTTACTAAGAAGCAGTTATAGTAGTGCAGTAGAAATAGCACTGGGCTGAAAGTTATCAGATTTTGGTTTTAAGTCTTAGTTTTTAAACTTTACAGCTTGGGTAAGACCTCCCTAATGTTTTGCTTCCTTACTGGTAACTTGAGTATAAGAAATAATTCACAGATTGTAGTAGTTAGTATGCTAACAGCTCCTGGATATGGAAAGCTTAGGTTTAAGTTTTGAGTTTATTAATGCAAATTTAGGCAAGACTTAACTATTTTGGGCCTTAGTTTTAATTTTTAAATGGGATGAAAATGTAGTTACTGTAATAGACTGGTGACCATGTGTCCCATCACCCCAGTTGGGTGTTTCTTTAGCACCTAGAACAGTGCATGGCACAAAGTAAATGTGAGATAAAGCTTATTTTATTTTGTTTAGGAGAAGGGTCACAGACCTGTGAAATAACATGTAAATGAAAAATATTTTTTGTTGTTAGAAAAACCAGAGTCTACAACAGTATTTCAACTTTTAATTTGAAATACTTTTACACTTTAAAAGAGTTCACTCATACTCTTCACCCAGCTTTTCCTGATGTTAAAATTTATACAGCCGTACTAACAGCTGTCAGAATCAGGAACTTAAATACCATTAAACTCTTGACCTTATTTGAATTTCATCTGTTTCTTCCCTAAAGTCCCTTTTCTATTCTTAGAATTCAGTTCAGTGTCCCACATTTCATTTAGTAGTTGTATCTTGTTAGTCTCCTCCAATCTTTAGCAGTTGCTTAGTCTTTGCTTGTCTTTTATGACCTTGATACTTTAGTAGAGTGTTTCCCAGTTTGAGTTTGTCTTGTGTTTTCTCCAGTTAGATCGGAGCTCTGTATTTTTATAATCCTACAGATGATGTGTCTTTCTCAGAGCATCATGGCAGGGGCTTATGTGGATATTACTTGAATTGGCCATACTAACTTTCATTCTTTGCTAAGATGCCATCTACTAGGTTTCTCCACTGTAAACTTACTATTTTTCTCTTTGTAATTGACAAATATCTTGGAGGAGGTAATTTAACACAGTGTATTTTTCAGTATTTTCTCTATTCTATAGAATTATCTAATACTGTCATTTCTTATTTTCTTGCTTATATTGTTCCACCCTTGGCCATTAGGAGTTCTTTAATGCTGGCTCCTGTGTGCTTTTGACATACTTTGATCCCTTTTTCAGCACTTTAGTTTCTGGCACCACAAATTTTCAAGTGTTGTCTTCTGTTTTTCCCTGATCCAACAGTGGATTCAATTATTCTGTAAGGGACCCTCCTCAGTCTTTGTTATTTGGATGAGGGTATTTAGAAACTAAGTTCTGGGGTCTGGATGTGGAGAGTAGTGTTTTTCTTCCTTGGTGATCTCAGCAAATACAGCTAGAAGATACAGGTATTTTTACACACACAGTATACAAATGGTTTCACTTCGGTGGGGCCTAGGCTTCTGTATTTAAGGAGACTGTGTGGAGGAAAAGAAGGGAACACAAAGTATGATTATGATGTATCTAAGGGCTGAGAGTATATAGCTTAGTGGTAGGTACCGTGGTTTCCTAACATGCATAAGACCCTGCGTTCAATCTCTAGCACTGCAATAAATGATGAGTGAATGAGAGATAGGTAGTGCTTAGTCAGGGTGTGGTGGATCATACCTGTAACCCCAGCACTTGGAAGGCGGAAGTCAGAGGATCTTGATTCAAAGTCAGCCTGCACTACATAGCAAGACCCTGTCTCAAAAAAGAAGCTTGGATCTGGAGCAGCAATTCTCAAACATTCTGGTCTTGGGACCCCTTTGTACTCTTAAAAATGCTGTAGATTCCTAAGAGTTTTTGATTATATTGGTTATATTGCAGTATTTATCATAAATTAGAAATGCAAAAATTTAAGTTTTGTTTATCATTAACAAAAACTCGTGTATTAGTATATAACATTTTAATGAAAAAATCCTATTTTTAAAACGAAATATTCAGTGAAAAGAGAATTGTTTTGCACTTTTTTGCAGATCTCTTTACTAGCTTAATATAATAGCATTCTTATATCTACTAATGCGTTAGTCTGTGGTAATGTCATGTTAAACAGCCTCTGTGAAATGATACTATAAAAGGGGGCTGTATGTGCATGAAAGAGTAAAAAGCAGTGTGAAGGCTGGAAGTGTGGCTCAAGTAGTAGAGTACCTGCCTAGCAAGTGCCAGGCCCTGAGTTCAAACCTCAGTACTGAAAAAAGAGAAAGAGAGGGACGGATAGAGAGAGAGAAAGAGAATATGAGAGAGCATTTTTGATCAAGAAGCCTGACACTAAAAGGGTTTCAGGGCCCTCCCTTCAGGAGTCCCAGCACTTAAGAACCATTTATGTAAATTTAGGGCATAAACGTGCCAGGAGGAAAAGGAGAGTACTAAATTTATGTGATATTTTAGAAAATCTATAGTAATCTAAACTGTAAGATGCTGATATAGCAACTAAAATCTAAATTTAGAAATGTAATAGGAAAGTAGACCAGAATTTGTTCTGTGGATCTCTAAACCTTTTCAAAATAAAAGGACTGCTGTCTACTTCATCTGCCGACAAATGTAGTTCATTTCAAGATTTTGCTTATGGTTTTGGGTCAGGCAGAGGTGGAGAGGGTAGTGGTTCATGACTCATAAAGTCCTGTCCATCACTATACTGCTTCATCTTCCTATCTTATTCTGTAGCTTTGTGAACTTGGAATTTGAAATTTTGCTGTTGACTCGTTATATCTCACTGTTCTTGCCAAAATGATCCTGGATACACAGATGGACACATTCTTAAATTTCTCATTTTCTGTACTCCGTGAATATCCCCAAATATTGCTACATTCTTTCTTTAGTCAGTATGTTTGCAGTACAGTTAATTATGTTATATCTTTCTTTTTACAGTTAAATACTTAAACTTGTGATCACCTTGAATCAACTTGAGTATTTCCTAGGTAATATTTTGCAACAGGTTCCTTCTGGGGCTATTTAAACACATCCTTTTTATATGGATATGTACTACTTTTACTCTCAGGACAGCTGTTTTTCTAAATTTGGGGACAGTTGTCCCTATATGCCATGTAAAAATTATTCTTTCAAAATGTTTGACCATGCTGGGAATATAGCTCAACGGTAGAGTGGTTGCCTAGCTTGGGCAAGGCCCTGGGTTTGATCCCCATCACTGTAAAAAAAGAAGAAATGTTTGGCCATAAGAAGAATAGTATTTGCAAAAATTTGAGTCAACAAATATTTGTAGAGGAAATTTCATTGTGCTTTTAGAAAGAGAAGAAGTTGCTGAGGGAGTCAGGGACAGAGTTTTAGAGACTGAGTGAAACAACAGGGCTTTGGTGACAATTGAGAATGGAATCATTAGCACAGAGTTAAAGGAAAGCAAAAAGATGCCTTCCTTTTTCTTTTTCTCAGTGGGTGGGAGGATAAGTGAGAATCCAAAAATTGACATTGAAAACTGATAGGAACATAGGGCTCCAGAGGTGGAGAAGAGGGATGGTAAGGACAGATACTTCTGCCAAATGACCTAGGTCTTTTCTGCAAAGTGGATCACATACAGTCTTGAAAGTTGAGATGGTGAACTTATAATTGATACTGTTAGCAGCAGGGCAGTGTTGCCTGTTTTCACTAGAGAAATGACAAGAAAACAGTTTTATATTCATTGATTTGTCGAAGACTACATTGTGAGATGATATCCCCTAAGTTAACAGGGTTGGCAATGTTAAATGAAGTGAATTGGATGTTGCTGAATATGCCTACAAGATACTGGGAATGAAAAGAAGGAAGAGTCCAGAATGATCCCAAGGAGTCAGTTACCTTCTTTCTGGGAGGTGAGGAAGGAGGTAGATGAAAATTTGCAAACCAAATGCCACATTTACTCCTCATTACTGTATTTGTTACATCACTTATCAACATTATTGAGTCTGGAAGAAGGAAGTTGGGAAGAGAATCGGGTTTGGAAGAAAAAAAAGGAAGGAATATGTAATATGATAAACTTGCATCTATGATTAAGTTTCTTGTTTTATCCATAAGGCCTTTTGCAGTTATTTCAAGTCTTCATTTCCTGATTCTCCCTTTGAATTCCAGTCTTTATTCTTTGTACCGTTTGTTTAGTTAGAGCATGACATGTGCTGTCTTGAATTATTAGTTTGTTTTTTGTAATGCTTTAGAATTCTGGATCTACACTTTAAAACACTGGAAGAGGAGACCTCAAATTTAGAATGTGTTCTCCACATCTAGAGTGATGCTTTGCGTATAATAGATCTCAGTGAATGTTTTTATTACTTTAGCCTTACTTTAGCATAGAGCACATAGCTATTGAATGAGTAAATGTTGGAAGGCATTGTAGGAAGTTCCAACAAAGAATATTTTACATGTACATGAAATAGTTAAATACAAAAGTAAGATGTTTTATTTACTTTAATGTTGAAATTAAATAAGACTTGGAAAAGAAAGCTATTCTGGATTCTGGGCTTGAGAATCAAGGGAAGTTTTTTCAGTGTAGGAAGGTTGTGTACAAGGTTGGGAGAATAAAGAGGGAGATGTATTATGGAATTTTCAAAAAAGAACCAGATGGGCAGAAGCAAGGGATGAGGGAGCATGACATCATAGGAACTATTTCTTTGTTTGGAGGGAACTTGGATCAGGATGAACAGAGGTCTCAGAGTCCTCTAAAGGGAAAATATTTGGGTTTAGCTAGATCTGATAAAAGAATAAGTTTGGTGGTGTTGATGGTATTTCTGGATAGTGAGAGAGAAAAGCATTGAGATACAGGCTCACAAATAGGCATGAGGGTACTAATAGGGTAGGTGAAATGGTTAAATGATGGGGAGGAAACGAGGTTTTGGTTTTTAAAAATCCTGACATATTTTATACATTATTGATTTTCTTGATGCATAATGAATTTTAATAATCCAGCAAACCATTCTTTTCAAGCATCACCTATTTACTGATGCCTGCTTTTATTAATTGTACTTTGATTTATTTTTTGTGAGAAGTAACACTGAGAACGTGGTTTTCCTTTAAAGAACATTCTCAAGGAAAGGATAGATGACTTAAAAGTGAATTATCTTTTTGCCATGTTTACAAAGATTTCTTGTTTTTGTAGGTCATTATTGTAGTCTTCCTTGAGTGAAAGAAGGCTTGAGTTTTTCCAGGTCCCCCTCCCTTTATTTTTTGCGGAACTCATTCTTGTAACTGTCTTACCATCATACTCATTGTCTTTTTGGATTAGCCAGCATCGTTTCTGAATACTTTAGATGAGACCATATGCTTTAGAGTATGATTCAAAGTTATAGAAAAAGATGATTCCATTTATGAGTGATCAGCCTACTGGAGCATTCTAAAAACGTAACTTACTGTGTGCCTGTTGGTAATCACTGTGCTTCATTCCACCCATACTTGTAGGTTTAGGTTTTTGCTTTTACAATGTTGAAAGTATGCCTTAATTTGAAAATGATAATAGTAACATGAAACACTTTCCATGTATGTGGAAGTAACTAAAAGGTTTAAGATAGGGGTATAAATCTTTTTTTCTTTACTGTTTGCAAATAGAGGCACTTTGGTTTATGAATAGTTGCTAGTTGCACAACTCTGTCTTACACTCTACTAGACATTTTTGCTAAAAAGAGTTCCTCTGTTTCTATTGTTGCATGTTACATTTCCATGACTTCTTTGCAATTCATAAGCTGACAGAAATGTCTGGATTACTTTTTGGAGACCCTAAAAAATAGGACAGAGCAATTCTACAGCTGCCTAAAGTCTCTTCATCTTTCTTTGTCTAATACTTAGCTTGAGTCTGTATTGTATTTTAGTAAGTATCAGTGCACAGGTGGTAAAATGACTATATTCCAAAGCCTTGGTGGTGGTGATTTTACCATTCTGTGTTGTGTTCTAAATAATTGGTATGAAAAGAAACTGTAAGAGTGGTAACTTGTTCTGGAACACGATAGAATTACTAAGTCAATAATCATTTACATCATGTTTTTTTTTTGCAAGCTTCTTGATTTGTGATTCTCATAGTGCTTACATTTCAGAAATTCATGAAAGCTTTTACTTCCTTATTTTTCAGTTTAAAATCCTTGATTTTTTTACTCATAAGCCCTTTCTACATAGCTGTCTGTCTTCCGACTTAGTACCAGCAATCTCTAAGATGTTTGGAATCTTTTGAACTATATTTTTATTTTGCTTTTTGTCATTAGCACATTGTGCTTATTCAGATGATTCTCAAGTTTTGCTGTCTTTTTTAACCTGTGGAGTTGAAAACTTCTTTTAAAATTTTTGTGTTTGAATTTATCCTTGTGTTTTCAAGCATAAATTGAAAAGGTAGCAGTGAGGAGGAGTATGATTGAGCACCATCAAATCTGGTGAGAATTAACAGCACTATTAGTGACCTTAGAACTTTGGTGTGTTTATTTGAATACAGAACAGCTTTGTGAAGACCTGAGACCGGAAGATGGGATAACAATGTTGAAATCTTAATTATCTTCTTTATTAATATAGTAAGCATTACGTCTTATGCAGAGTAGTGGCCTAAAACCGTATGCAGTTTTATAATCACATTTGGTGATGGTGTGTTGTAAAAGCTAAAAAAATTTGGTTGCTATTTTGTCAAAAATGTTGAATGTAAAAATATGTTTTCATTGTTTGTCTTTTCTTTTGATTTGATCTTCTTTCAGAATTTTGTGTTGTTTTCATGATTTAAAAGACAGCCCATTGAAATGTCTAAATATCCCTTTTGTCCCCAATATTGTATTGGTTTTTCTGCATGTTTGTAACCTCAGCATCAGTTCCTTAAGTGTGGCAGTGAAATTGATGTTACAGTGTCCCGGCCTCTACTGTATTTCACTAGATTTTTTGGGGAGTGGTGCAATACTGGGATTTAAACTTAGTGCCTTACGCTTGCTAGGCAGGCACTCTATCTCTTGAGCATACCTCCAGCACCCTTTTGCTTTTAGTTGGTTTTTTTTTTTTTTCTTTTTTCTTTTTTCTTTTATTATTCATATGTGCATACAAGGCTTGGTTCATTTCTCCCCCCTGCCCCCACCCCCTCCCTTACCACCCACTCCACCTCCTCCCGCTCCCCCCCTCAATACCCAGCAGAAACTATTTTGCCCTTATCTCTAATTTTGTTGTAGAGAGAGTATAAGCAATAATAGGAAGGAACAAGGGGTTTTGCTGGTTGAGATAAGGATAGCTATACAGGGCATTGACTCACATTGATTTCCTGTGCGTGGGTGTTACCTTCTAGGTTAATTCTTTTTGATCTAACCTTTTCTCTAGTTCCTGGTCCCCTTTTCCTATTGGCCTCAGTTGCTTTAAGGTATCTGCTTTAGTTTCTCTGCATTAAGGGCAACAAATGCTAGCTAGTTTTTTAGGTGTCTTATCTATCCTCACCCCTCCCTTCTGTGCTCTCGTTTTTATCATGTGCTCATAGTCCAATCCCCTTGTTGTGTTTGCCCTTGATCTAATGTCCACATATGAGGGAGAACATACGATTTTAGTTGGTTTTTCAGTTGAGCTGGCAACCCGCTGTGATCCTCATCCTCCTATCTCAGCCTCCCAAGTGGGACCATAAGTTTGGGCCACCACACCTGGGTTGTTTTTGAGATTGGGCCTTGTTAATATTTGCCAGGCTGGCTTTGAACTGTGATGCATCTACTTCTGCCTCCTGAGTAGCTGGGATTATATACATGTGCCACCATGCCCAACTTGTTTTATTTTTATTTTTTTCTGGTATTGGAGTTCGAACTCACCCTCATATTCTTCCACTATAGCCATGCCCCCAGTCCTTTTGTTTTTAGTTTGTTTTTGAGGTAGGGTCTCCCACTTTTGCCCTCGTCTCAGCTTCCCAGGTAGCTGGGATTACAGGTATGAGCCACCTTGCCTGGCTTGTTTAGGAGATGGGATCTTGCTAACTTACTGCCCAGCTGGCTTCAAACCAAGTTCTCCTGTTTCAGGCCTCCTGACTAGCTGGGATTACAGGTATGTGCCACCATTCCTGGCCTTCCACTAGATTTATGATCTTTTCTCAGGACATCTTTAATCTTTTTTTGAGGTACATTTAGAAAAAAAAAACTTAGTTTCTCCCTCAGTTTATGTATTCTTGATTTTTATTTCTTAATTCTGTAGCACTCTACTTAGTTGGTGCACACACATATATAGATAGTTACTGTGGGAGCACCTATATGTAGGTTCAGCAAAGGATTAAACATACAATGGCTTTTTGTCACAATGGACTTTTTATGCTTTTCTAAAATCAGCTTTTTTTTTTTTTTAAACAGATAAGTGTAAAACAGGAAATTACTTTTACTGATGTATCTGAGCAACTGATGAGAGACAAAAAACAAATCAGAGAGCCAGTAGACTTACAGAAAAAGAAGAAGCGGAAACAACGTTCTCCTGCAAAAGTAAGAATATATTAAAGGTGGTGGTCACTAATCATTAACATCAAACTCGGTTTATCTTGTGGGCAGGAACCTGGTTGGACATTCAGGTAGATATAAAAGTCTCATGTGGTTTAGTAAAGTTGGTTTTTTCACCAATTTCCACCAGGAGGGAACAGTAAGGAGGGATTCATGCCTGCTCTGAGGTGGTGGGCCGTGGCTTTTAACTTTTCTGTCTTTTCATAATGTCCTTCTTTTTTTTTTTTTTTTAAATGAAGTTTTCTTTTCCCATGTGTCTCATTTCTCTAAATACTAACAGATGGTATGCAGGGTGTAACTTCTCATTCATATTAGCCTAGCTTATTTTAATATTAAGATTTCATTAAAATTCAGTACCAGTCATCAGGAAAAGATTGTGGGGTACCCGTAACAGAATGTAAGCTCCACGAGGGCAAGGACTCCGTTTTATTAACAGCTGCATGGCAAGAGTCTGGAGTAGAAGGCATAATGGGAACTTAATATTTTATGACTATAAATAAATGGATTAGTAAATAAACAAATGATCCAGTAAATACTAGGAGCTGCCAACTTTTTTGTTTTTCTCTGTAGTAAAGTAGTAATTGACTATATGTAATAGTTTTGGTGTTTCTAGTAATTCTGTGAACTTACTGCAATATATTTTCATATTATAGTTATTTCTCATCTTTTTTCCTTCCCTCATGTAGTGAAGCTTTTTTCTTTTTAAAAAAATCTTCACACCTTTTTTTTTTGATGGCTACTCTTTTGTATTTGTGATTTGAAGTCATAATCATCATTATTATTTATATTCTATACTTTTGGAATATGGTATGCTGGCACTACCTTGGAACAGGAGTAGCTCATTCTGGCTTGCAAGAACTGATAGCTAAAATTTCAGGAATTTTGCTAGTCAGTGGGCTGAAACCATTGATAGCTTATATAATTAGCCATGGTGGGAATATTTATACCATGGACTTCACCAAATGCTTCCCAATTCTCTCATTCCCTAAATGGTTGTTCAAACATTTACCAGTTTACCACTGTTTGTGGGAGATAGAAGTATGCCTGTAACAGACAGTTTTGAAAACCATAACGGTCTAAAATAATCCAGTTACATTTCTTAGAGATAACTACTTTTAATTTTCTGCCATATTCCTTTCTTCTTAATTTTTTTGTGAATATATATGTGTACATATATATATGTATGTGTATATATATATATATGTATATATATATATCGAGAGGGAGAGAAAGGGAGATACATTTACTTAAAGTGTGTATAGTTATTTTTACACTTAAATTTAGCAATAGATTTTTTTCCCTTCAGTTTTTATTTATTTATTTTGTAGTGCTGGGGATCAAACCTGGGGTCTTGTGCATTCTAGGCAAAACCTCTACCACTGAGCTACATCATCAGCCCAGTAGTTTTTGTGAACATTTTTATTAGCTGCATAATATATTATCTTTGTTAGATCATGTTGTATTTAATGATTACTGTGTTGTTGGGAGTTTGTATTTTTTTTCATTGGCCATACTTAAACTAAGTAGGCAGGCCCTCTTATCACCTGAACCATGCCTCCAGTCCTTTTTTCCTGGGGCCAGCCTCAAAGTGTGATTCTCCTATCTATGACTCCTGTGTAGCTGGGATAACAGGCATGTACCATCCATCACACCTGCCTTGCTTTGTTGAGAAGGGGGTCTCAAACTTTTTGCATAGGCTGGCCTTAAACCATGATCCTCCTGAACTTTGCCTCCCTAGTAGCTGAGATTACAGAACTAGCCACAGGACCTAGCCTCAGGAGGTTGTATTTTTTGTCTTCATTTTAAATCATGATCCACTTAAAATATTTATGTATATATCATTGTGTGTTACTGAATCAAATGATGTAATTTAAAAAGTTTTTTTTGATAATGTTACTCCTTCTGGAAGTGTTGTGGCAGTCATATTTCTACACAAGAGGACCTGAGGTGGCTGCACTCTCTCCAGCCTTGAGTATCAGATTTTGCTTTTTCATAGTTCAAGATGGGAGTCTCATTATAACTTAAATTTGAGTTTTTTTAGTTTCAGTTATGTTGAATTTGGTTCTCTCATTTGTAATAGCATTTTATATTTTACATTTTATGAAACCCCTTTCTTTCTTTGGTGTCTTCATGTTTTTCTCCATGATTTTTAGATTACATTTTTGTTGATCTTTGCATTAAGGGATAAGTCAAGCTCCTTATATATAGGATAATCCCAGATTTTAAGGGAAAGGTAATACCTAAACTTTTATAGTGTGACTGTGTTATCTTGAGTTCACTATTGATTTGTGGGAAAATCTTTTTAAAGACTTTAAGTTATGATATATGTAACTTGTGGATTTTTCTAGCTGTTTCAGTATCATGTTTTTCTGGGTGTATTGTTCTGGAGTGTTAATATCTTTTTGAAATTCTGTCTAAAATCCAGATTATTATTTCCTGTTAGGTGTTCCTTGGAATCTTTATTTTGTGACATGTTCTAGGTGTTTTTAAATACAGGTCACATATTTAGAATTTAAACTGTTTTGCTCATCCATTGCTATAAACTCATTTATAATTTATTATTGTAGTATTTCTAAAAGTATTTGTTTAAGTATACCTATGTAGTAGCTAGATGAAAGATGTGATCTAGCTGGGAGTAGATCTTACTGGGTGTGGTGGTGTGCATCTGTAATCCTAACGTGTGGGAGGCTGAAGCAAGAGGAAGGATTGCCAGCTCTAGGTCAGCCTGGGGTCCATAGTGAATTCCAAGCCAGCCTGGGCTGCATAGTGAGATCCTGTCTCACCCCCACCCTTAAGAAAAAAAAAAAAAGACTTGATCTATTTTAAATATTAAACATATATAAGAAGACATTTTAGGGCAGTCTTTTTTGAGGGGGAGGGTGTAAAACTGGGGTTTGAACTCAGGGCTTCATGCCTGGCTTGCAAAGCAGGCTCTCTATTACTTGAGCTACACCTCCAGTCCAGTTTGCTCTGGTTATTTTGGAGATGGGATCTTTCGAATTTTTTGCCCAGGTTAAACTGCAATCCTCCTAATCTCTGCCTCCCAAGTAGCTAGGATTACAGGTGTGAGCCACTGATGCCTGACTTGGGAGAGTCTTTTAAAAGAAATTCTTAGAAGGTTGAAGTGACTAGAAGTAATACATAGCATACTGGTATGAGAATAACAAAAACAATTACTTTTAAATTGTTCTCACATGTTACATGTAACAGGACAATAACTATCTTTTACAGACACACACACACACACACACACACACACACACACACACACACAGAGTCTGTCAGTCTATGTACTCCACACACAGAGTCTGTCAGTCTATGTACTCCAGGCTAGCCTTGAACATGAGATCCTCCTGCCTTAGGCTCCTTAGTGCTGGGGTAACAGGCATGTGCCACCATGCCTGGCTGGGTGTGACTGTTTTTAACACTGATCATCAGTCTCCAGGTGAATGATTCTTATTTGTGTGGAGTTCAGACCTTGAGGTACCAACAATGAGTTGTTTTCTGTTTTCTCAAGAACATGTTAGGAAAGACATACTTCAGATTTTTCATTAAAGTAACTTATTCTGCCATTTTGTGTGAAAAGATGTTTATCTCAGGTTTATAAGCCCATGTATTTCTTGTTTTGAATCCTTTATAAAAATTTTTTAAGTTTCTCAAAAATTTGTTCTGTTATAAGTGTAACTTACATAAGGGGAAATTCTCCAGAGGGTGAAATGACTGGGAATGGGGGTGTGTGGATTTGAATTTATTACACTTCGAAGACTCCACTCTCCACCAACACATTTTCAAATCTTGACTTTTGCCATTATGAGTATTTTTAGCATGTGTTACTACTGTCAGATTGCAGATATGTACAAAAAATACAACTGGAGCAATGTGATAGGATTTTAGTAAGAATATCAGAGCTTATAAACATCCAGCTAAATATGACTCCCTTCAAGATAACCTTTGTGGTAAGAAATATTGGGTTGTTACACCATCTTTAGCTGTCATAGGTTTTCAGCATAATTGCTTTCTGAATCTTTGTCATATGGGAAAGCCTAGTCATCTTAAGGGAGGTTTAATACTTGAAAATTACCAAAGTATTCCGACCAACATTTCTGATGAAGAAGGGAGTTAATTGAATTAGGCAGTACTGTCTAGATCAAAGTATTGGCTGCACTATGGAATGAGTTGTTTTATAAAAATAGAAAAAGGGAAAATTTCTGCATAGTAGAAGCTTGCCCCTTTAAATGTCAAATTTCTTCTTTTGGGGGGAATGGGGGTGCTGCTGGATATTGAACCCAGAGTCCCATGTATGCTAGACAAGCACTCTACCACTGGAAACACCCCCCTCATTTCATTTTATCTTAAGTAACTACTGTTAGAATTTGTTTTGTATTGTGTTGTTTGCATTTTAAATATTCATAAATTAGATTATACATCAACTTTAAATTTCTTGGTGCTCATGAAAAAATGTGTGTTGAATTGGAGTCTTGTAGGAGGAATATTTTAGGGCTGTTCCTTCCCCTTCCACTCATGAAACCATGAAAACTTCTAAGTGTTAGACTTTTTAAGTATTTTGTTGTTGTTTTTGGTGGTTTTTTGGTGGTCCTAGGGATTGAACTCAGGACCTCACACTACAGGGACTCTACCACTTGAGCCACCAGCCCTTTTTTCATTGATTGATTTTCTTTTTTTTTTTTTTGAGGTACTGGGGCTTGAACTCAGGGCCTTCACCTTGAACCACTCTACCAGCTCTGTTTTTGTGAAGGGTTTTTCAAGATAGGGTCTCGCGGAACTATTTGCCCAGGCTGGCTTCGAACTGTGATCCTCCTGATCTCTGCCTCCTGAGTAGCTAGGATTATAGATGTGAGCCACTGGTGCCTGGCCTCATTGATTGTTTTTGACACAGGATGTTGGCTTTATGCCCAAGCTAGCCTAGACCTTTATCCTTATGTTTTACATTTCCCATTGTTGCTGAGATGACAGGCGTGCACCAC